ATACTTCGTGTAATGTATCAATTTGGGAAATTTTCCTTTTCATTTTTTCATGGAAAAGAGTAAGTGATAAGAATAAATGTAATTTGAGGTTAGGTTTAGTATTTAGTAATCTATATTAGAACTTATAAATTGGAAATGTTTATGAAGATTGAAGGTGGAAGCTTCTATTCCAATCTAAATCGTGTAACAAATCTTCAAGCTTGTCTTTTCCTTAAACTATAGTCAATAAATATATTTGTACAAAGGACATAACCTCTTTTCTACCAAAACCACAATTCCAGTTGCGCCTGATGCGTATTATGAGAAACACAAGAGAATATTTCTAAAAGATTCGAATAAACTCGAATATAAAATTAAAATGTGGAATATCTATTTGTAATAAAATATTGGATAGCTTTTTAGCAGTGTGATGGAAAGAAAAATGGAAGATTCAAGGCCGCTCAGCCGACCGCGAATCAAATTTCCAGCGTCGGAGTGAAAAATCACTGCAATCGTTCCAAGTGAACATTTCCCGGCGGCGATCGAGTTGTAATTGCAATTGTTTGAGTTTACCCGGCGCCTTTTTTAACGCGCGATCCGTAAATATTAATTCAAAGCGTCGGAGCTGCGGATTCCACGGCAGGCAATTACATCTGGGAATTATAATGGAAACGAAGTCGATAGAGGCTTTACAAAGGGGAACGCAAATAATCGGGGGTTGCTTGTAAAATTTACTCGGCCGCGAATCCCGTGGGCGTTCGTTGAACACGGAACGCAGGGAAATCCGAATGTGTCATTAAAACACGTGTGCAACAATCTTCTTATCCATTTTTGAGTGCCTCGGCCCCTTGAAATTCAATCGAACGAATATTTTCGTCGAACCCTTTTCATTCTCGTTTTGATGATAAGCTGTATTCTTATTATAATGATAATAAAATCATAATAAGAAGAAAACAATAATAAAATAATATAACAAGAAGAAAATAAGGATAATAAAATAATAATAATAGTAATAATAATAGTAATATTAAGAAAATAAGACGAAAATAACGATAATTGTAATAATAAGAAGAAAATAATAATAACAATAATTATAATAAGAATGTTAAGAATTTTGAATACTACCACTACAAATGAGCCTCAACAACAAAAATATATATTCCATTTGTTACTAGAAGCTGTATATTTTCATATTAAATTAGTAACATTATCACATCAGAATTATAACAAGAAGAAGAACAAAAAATTTAGCAATTCTTTTCCAAATTAATGATAGAAAAAAATATAAATAACACAGACTATTAAAAAGTACAAATTGAGCTACATAAGTGATAGATGTGATTAACGATCTAAAATTAAATGGTAAAAAAATGTCACACTGAACAATTCTGTGACACTATAATTGAATTTAGATTCATTCTAGAGATGGAAACCGTGAAAACAAAATGCATAATTTCGTTGGAAATGTAAAACAATACGGGACAACATTTTTCTTTGATTCCTTTATGGAAATCGGTAAAATTTGATCGAATGGAAGTTTCGTCTAAGAGGATCACCGGTGAAAAAACAAATGCGAAAATCGAAAAGCAGAAGAAGGGAGAATGGAGAAAATACGGAGTGCTTTTAAGTTCCTTGCTGAAGGTAAATACAATTTTTAGGAAAGCCGGGTTTCCACTGGTGTCCAGGGAACGTGAAATTTAAATCGTTTAAGAAAGCTCTTTGAATAAACACGACGAGGGACAGTGTTTTTAATTAAATTAACGAAAGAGCGACAAGATGCCATTAAGAGAAGCTTTTTTTCATAACGAAATGGGTCAACATTATGCAACGAAGTTTTTATGTACGGAGGCTCGTTCGCGAGGAAAATTCTCCTGACGTTGAGAGCCACTGTAATGCTACCAGTGACTATCATTGCTTGTAAACGCTTCAAACTTAATTTTCTCAGAAACAAAGCCTTGTAGACAAAAACTTTCTTCTGTATACTTTATTCACTTCTAACCTGCTGCAAGAAAATTGACTAAAAATACTTCCAATTTTGCAACGTAAACAAAATTATTAACAAAATCACATTCAAAGTTATAAAAAACAATTCATTTCTTATTTAATCACCTATTACATTATAATCTGCCAAAATCCTTCAAAGTTTCAATGTAAATAATATTAAGCAATTTCATCTGAACTGAAAAAAAGTCAATATTAATTATTACTTCTTGTAAATGGTGTTTTTTAAGGACTTTATCTTCGAGTATATAATCACTGTTAATATCGAAGCTCCTCTCGATGCTAGTTAACGCCATTTTCGCCCGTCGTGCATACTTCCTTCGTCGATTTTTCGCGTGCCTCCGCGCCGACGCTAATTACAGAAATATTTTCCGCAGCATCTGATTCTCTGAAAATTCTTCGCAGCACTAGGAACGGGGTTAAGTTAATTTTTCTCTCTTCGGTGATTAATAAACGCTCGCCGGGTACCGGGCGCCTTCATTTTATCGGGTTCCGATGTACACGCTCGTTTAATTCGGCCAATATCGTCGAGGCCGGCTTTTGTACCCGTGATTGCCCGATATTGACGTTTAATCGCTATGATTTTCGGCCGTGGTAGCAATTTAGGAACCGGTCCCTGTATCGTGTACGATCGACTTCGTTCCAGTGTTTGGTTGGCATAATTCGGAGCTCGAGCTGCGGGGAAATAGCAAACGTGGCCGAAAAACGATCGTCTTGTTGTACAAATTCAATTTCCGTTCTTTCCTTTGAAGCGGAATGTTTCTGGCATTGAAGCATAAACGAGAATGGGAAATGTCCAGGAGAAAAATGATTTAGTGACGAAGATTTTAGCTTAGTTAATGTTTCTTTATGCTGGAAATATGAGAGAGTGGAAGTTGCCCGGTGTTAATGTTTTCTGGAATTTACAGAAATGAAGCAATTCCAATTTCTGGATATTAATGTTTCAGTGCGATGTCAGAAGAACAAAGGAACTTACTAAATGATTTTTATTAGGGTTATTTTTATGATTTTTGAAGTTAATAATTATTCATAACTAATTACAACAATCTGATAAACGATAACATTTATAAAACTATCAATATTAATAGCGCTTGTAACACAGAAACGATCAAACTTTATGAATTCTATAAATTTCACCATTACATTCTTTGTATAACAAATCAATCAACAATTAACTTATGAATTCCATGAAAACATTAAATACAATATCCTCCCCTTAATCATCAACCAAATCAAAGAGTAATAAACATTTCCCATTGCAGACACCAATTTAACAACAGACTAACACCCCTCCCTCGTTATAAGCCACTCAGCTCTCCGTCCCAATAGCTTATAACGAGGTAGCCTCCTAAAACGCGTCTAGAAGCCGTATACGCCATAAATCAGCGTGCTCCGCCACAGTTTCCTGTTAAATCGGGCAAACACGGGCAACTAGTTCCCCGTAGCAGCCAGTCTCGTTCCTTACAGCCGGTATTAACGGCGACACAGCTTATTCGCGGCGTTAACCGCGCTGCCCCCAGCGCAGGCGTCGAAAGTTGCAGCCGAAAACCACGACGCGACGTCAAAGGGTAAATTAATTTCGAGGGAAACACGATCGTCGTGTTCGATGAGAATTTTTCATGTGCAACGGAGGACTGTGCGTTTTATATATATGTATATACGTATATATCATTAGGTCGAACTTTTTATTCCAGCGATCACAATTTCGGGTAATTAACGAGCGCGACGTTCAAGCCGCATCCCTGCAGAAGTTCTCCCAGCGGGAAAAGTTTTAACGAAGTCGGCTTACGGGCCAGATTAAAATAAGTTGATTTATGATATGTACACGCGCATGTGTGCACTTGCGCGCGCGCTCTGTTTTATTTATCATACTCCCCGCGTGTTATTCGTTAGCGAAATTGGACACGCGTGCGGCTAATCCACGGTACTTCGGGCTTATCGTGGCTTTCTCTGCGGCTTTTCCGCTGTGGACCTTGTGAAATGCGTTGCGCGTCGATGATTTCGAGTCGTATCGGTAGGAAGAGGTTAGCGAGCTTCAGACTTTTCGAACGCGGAAATTTGAATTTGAATTTGGAAGTTCCGACGCGAAAGTTGGAATTTGGAAGTTTGAAATTGTATAGGGAGGTTCGGATGTTTGAGGATGTGAATTTGAAGGAGAGAATTTAGAAATTTGAAGATGTGAATTTGAATGAGAAAATTTAGAAATCTGACGATGTGAGTTTAAAGGCAAAATTTTAGAAATTCCAAGATGTGAATTTGTATAAGAAATTAAAAAATTTGAATTTCAAGTCACGAAAGTTAGTAATCCTGATTTTAATTTTCCACGAGTTGTTTAAATGTACAAGGCATCGTGTTTATTACGATAAACCCCAGAATCACTCCATTCCTTATTAATCCATCTATTCACTCGGCAAAACCGCCACTAGAAATAATTCCCAAATACATGTTCCTCAATACTGGATTCCATAAAATATACTTCAAAAATCGCTGTATGTATAATACCTTTAATTAATCCGGCCAGCCAGTGAACATGAATATTTCCTTCAACGAATTCATTACTTAATTCACTGCATCAGAATTTTGGAACGCCGCTGCTCCAGCTCATTAATGTATACACAGAGTATTTTTAAATAACTCATTTAAAAGTATTATCCCGAATAAAAGCTTACTCGCGGGATCGCCGGATATTCATTGATCCACTTTGTTACCGTGCACTTACTAATAATTCACCGGGCCCGGGAGCAACGGAGTATCCTTCGCCGTTAATAAAAACACGGCCGGTTCCGCGGGATATACCGGGGACGAATTAAAATTTGCATTATTCCCGTCGTAACAGCTGGAGCTTTTAATGGATGGCGGGGTGTTACTCGAAATGTACCACGAAAAATTCCGATCCGGCTGTTCGGGGACGTCAGTGTAACGATACTAAAGGGCAGGGACCCTTACCGCGCGGCGCCGTGGCGCGGGAAGCGAAGAATTTTCCAGGGAAACGAGAAAAATGGGAAAAACTGGATACTCACGAGTTTAGCAGTTTGCGCAGACACCATGTCCGCGTATTGTATTAGCGCTTGGAAAGTACCTGGAACAAAGAACAAACGAAATTGAATTAATTAAAAGAACCCTTTTTAGCACCGCCTCCATTATACGCCTGATGAATTGTGAAATTATTATGATCTTAATTCGGGCATCACAACTGAAACGAAACTGAATGCAAAATTCGGTGGATGATGAATGCTTGAATATTCATTTCGAATTTTCATGTGGGAAAATGTATATGTTACTTTTTATCGTTTGTGGTTCGACTTAATTAATAATCATAGCTGAATTTAAGCTCAATTAAGATATAACTTAAGGAAGATACTTCAAATATTGATCTGCGAAGATATTCGTCTAAATTAGATTTCGAATGGAACAAGTTATCGGTTAGGTTCACCTGTGTTAGGTTATGTTGCGCTGGGTATAGGTTATGTAAAATAATATCTATCTAAAAGCAATAATTTTCAAAATATGAATCATAATTCCAACTGATCTTGCAATTTTATACCACAAACGGATTACAAAATGATCAAAAAGCCTACTGCTGGCGGTTCAAATGAATTTATACTAGTTCAAAGTACTAACACATACCTATACACGACTAAATTCAAAAATATTCTATCAATCCC